ATATACAATATGCCAATTTATGGCATAAATAAAAGAAAAATACTTTATTTCATTATAAATAGAATGGAGATACTTAATATGGCTACATTACGCATTGATACCAATTTTAAAAAAAAGAATAGTACAAAAAAAAAATGGCAAATGCATATTGATAATAATTAATTGATAATAATTAATAATCGCGATATATAGAAAAATCGATATATCGTCAACCGCCTCCATAGTACCTTGATGGTTTTGAAAGATTAGTTATAAAGTGAATAACTAGTCCTATTCATTTATCACTAATATTATCAAAATTTGATCGGATCGGCAGATCAAAATTTTAATGATCGGTCAAAAAATTCTCGATAGGTGCACCTCTAATATATATCATTATCAACCGATATGAATGACTTATAATGTGATATAGTTTTCAGCCATATTGCCCATCCCTAATTGTCAGTCTATAAAAAAGCCACCTTGTGTAATTTTTACAAGTGCTCTATACGAAAAAACATGTTAACTGATAACCAATGTGACCTTTTTATTTACCTCCACCATGTTTTTTTAATCGTTTTTATAGGCTTAGAATTTAAAATATCGATATTGTGTGCCTTCAAAAGTTGGAAGAAGGAACCATGGAGGATCACAGTTATATAAAAGAACCATGGAGGACCACAGTTATGAAAATAAAACAACACGAACAACAATCTTAAAAAATAATTATGCAAAAGTCCGTAGTCGTAGCAGCAAAGTGTCAACATCGCAAACCACACGCACCAAAAGGCAGAGTTAACACAACAGGAGGCACATTGTGTAGTTTGTAGGGATGTACCGATCTGATATTCAGTTCAGGATCGGTATCGCAGGCCGATATGGGTATTTTGTAAGGATCGGATAATATCGGATTTGTTAAATATGAAGCCGATTTACTTCACTTTTCAGCATGCTCACGCTTTACGGCTGCCGTAAACTAAATTCAATGTAAAACTAGGGCTGGGCGATAAAACGACAACAAGATATATTGCAATAGACACGTGTTCGATATCAATAGAAAACGGGGTCGATAGAATGCTAGTTTAACATCACTCCGTTAGAAAAAACAGGATAAAAACACAGGAAGTAAAGCAGAGTCAGAGGCGTGCGGCATTCTGGGGGATGTAGGCATAGGCTTCTCGACCTATCACAGCCGAGTATGACCGCAAAACTTTCTGGGAAATGCAAAAACAACAACCGCACAATGCGTATCGTACATGTTTTTCAATGCCGTGTCAATGGTTATGCATGTCCGTGCGAGGCATAGCATGTGCGGTGTGGCAGAGGCAGTGGACACAGAGACCTGATGCATGCGGCGAAAGCAAGTGATGAACTTTTTCCTCCGTGCGGTAATCAGAGAGCGGCCGCACAGAGCCGTCATGGGGACACAAAACAGGAGATAAACCAGGACTAAACCAGGATTTCACGAGGACTAACTATGGGGGAGCCTGCTTGTGAACATATTCCTCGAGCCTCATTCCCCGTGACTGAAAACAAGGCTGCTAACGTGCGTTAGCCGACACGACAAACGTATTTATTCAGGTAAAAATGCACAATCTTTAATGCTTTGAAAAGAAAAGAAAATATTGTATCGGATCGGTATCGGCAAAACAATATTTAAGAATATCGAAATCGGATCGGATTACAAAAAATCTGGATCGGTACATCCCTAGTAGTTTGTATACAACAGACTCACACGTGAACAATACATAACTTCACACACCAACAGTGATGAGAACGAGGGAGACTCTACAACAGTGGTTCCCAAAGTGGGGGTCCCGACCCCCCGGGGGGGTCGCGGGAACCCCTGGGGGGGGTCGCAAGATAATTTCTACACAAACAAAAAAAAAAGATTTTTTTTTTTTGAGCAAATATAAAGCCCTTAAATATTTATTTAGCATTTGATTTGATTCAAAAGGACTACTTGTTAAATTGTGTTTGGAGACTATAATATATTTTAATAACGTTAGTAATTTTGTCCCAGTCATTGCAGTGTCAATCAAAATCATCACGTAACACAGCTCACATCATGCAGCGACAAAGCGTGTCCTGCTGTTGTTTGCTAAAACTAAAGGTGTTTGGAGGCTACAAATAAATAATACCTGCTTTAAAATGAAACGTGGTTAATATCCACAACAGAAAAACCCGGAGGGGGAGAAAAGTCACTTGTATCAGGGGTCAGGCTGATGGTGCGAAGAGAGGGAGAGAGGGCAGCGGAGGGAGAGAGGGCAGCGGAGGGAGAGAGGGCAGCGGAGGGAGGGAGGACAGTGGTAGAACAGCGCGTTAAAGAGGCCCGGCTTTTCGGAGTCAAAGGTAAAGAGGTCCGCACATTAAAAGCGGGTGGCCGGTTTATGCCTTTACTGACAGTAACTTTGGAAAGAGAAGCCGCGGGGATGAACCGCATAAAGTAACCGCATAAAGTAACAGCAGAAAGCGGCCGCCCGCTTTTAATGTGCGGACCTCTTTACCGCTGACTCCGGAAAGCCGGCCCACTTTACCGCGGTAGGAGAACAGTTAGGGCGAGCCGCAAGAAATGCGCTCCACTTCTGCTGAGGAGGGAGCCCACCAAGCCCATCACTGTGTCACTACATGAGTAAAAATAAGCAAGCCTCCTTTTTTGGGCTGGACAGTGCAGCTCGGTAGTGGCGTGAGTCTCTAGAAAGCGTTACTCCGTATCAAGGAAATACATGCTCATTTCATGTGACGGAAGGGATGTTGGGGGGGGGGGGGGGGGGGTTGCGGGTTAGCAGGGCATTTATGATGGGGGTTGCGGGCTAAAAACTTTGGGAACCCCTGCTCTACAACACGGGTGGTAGTGTATGGAGCGATCCGGTCATTTATCAAACTAAAGGATTCTTTCCTTGTTAGTCCGGTGAATAACCGGGTGTTGGGGATCACTATCAAACACGACATACCTCGGAGGCTTCCGTAGTGTTGGTAGTAGAAGTAGACTAGCAATATATGATCTCAAAGCTAGATGGCAGTAAAAATTACACAGTGCACCTTTAAGACTATTTTGCCAGGTACAAAAACCGAAAGTTGAAGTGTTTGGAGAAAGCAAATTGTTTCAAAATGATTGCCACTTTGTATTGAAAATGCAAATATGAATGTGTAGCAGAAATAATTTTTTGGAAATACTCAAGTAATATTTTTGTTTGCAGAATTGGCAAATTTAGGCAAGATTTGAGGTTAATATGTGTAAGGGGCGACAGTCTACTGTTGTTGTGTCCCTGGGCAAGACACTTAACCCCACATTGCCTGAAGCCCCCACTGAAACACCAAGGCCGACGGAGCACCCATCTTCCTGTGGATTCACCACCTGCCGGGGGATCAACAAGGGACTGGTGCTATGAGCATTGGGTGGCAGCTCTGATTGTGACCTCAGTGATTTTTTTTGTTCAAAAATACATGTTTTCACCAAAAGCAATTTGTAAACAAGTGGGAGCCCGGGCGGCTATGTTTGCAGCAGGGTCCTTTAGCGATGTCTAAATCCAAGTGATAGGAGGAAAGAAAGGAGTGATGCATTGTATTGAGAGGGCAGATGGACACACACCTGCTCACACTGTGCGAGACTAGAGAAGCGTTGTGTGTGAGGCTGTGTGTGAGCGGAGAAGCAGACATGTGTGTGTGTGTGAAGGAGCAGACAAGTGTGTGTGCTGCTAATGCCACAGTGAATGAAAATTAATCAAGTCGCCATTTCTTAGTGCATTTTAAAAAAAAGTCCATGCTGAAGGGTGCATTGTCTAAAATTTCAGACTTTCCTGAAATGTCCCGGTATCTCTTCGCTTGCGCTTACCATCGGTGAATGTCTTTTTTTTGCTTATGGTAGTTAATCAGGAAAACATCGGCCGACACTAATGTTCAGCCGATGCATCCATAGTTCAAATCCCTTCTGTACACAGACATTGCAAATTAGCCTTGTAGTAGGGGTGGGCGATATATCGATTAGTAACTCCATTGAATTGAATATTACTGAATGTCTGAGCTCTTTTAGGAACAGCAGCAGAAACACATCCGTCCACACTAACGTCACTAATACAACATTCTAAAAGTTACTATTAGTTCTTAAGTCACATGTTTAGCTTAGACAAATCTGTATAGTCTTATGACTGAAGGAAGAAAGGATCTCTAGAAGTGCTCCATTCAGCAGAGTAGTGTGTGAGGAGCTCGTTCTTGTGGTTACACATTTGAGCGGCCATCGTCCTCTTGTTTGAGGACTAGTTTGAGGCCTATAATGCATGTGCCTTACATAGGACCAATGGCTCCTATGTGTTTGTTATTTAAGCATGTCCTGTGTTTGAACTGTTGTTGGCAAATCCACAAGTTCGTGAAGTCCTCCGAGACGACTGCTGTTAGAATTGAGGGATACACAAATACATGTACATTGAATTGGTGTTCACTTCAACACAAAATAACTAATAGGGATACATCAGGGATAGATCAATGCAGTAAAATATGCTAGTCTCGTCTACAATCCAGTTACAACATCTGTTATAGGTACAACTTTACTCACTAATCCTAAACATGTAGAGAGATAGTTAACGCAATTTTGCACAGACGACGAAGACATAACAGTGCAACATTAAACATATCTGCTCGATGTTGTCATAATTGTGAGGTTTTCTGCGCGTTTTTCATAAATGAGTCTTCCCTAGGACACGGCTGACGTTAATCCATATCTAATCGGTCAAACGTAGCGAAATATTACATTTTAAATTCAAGACTAAAGTGGATCTTTTGGTCTCCAAACCTGTCGTGTGTTTTAAGATGACTTTCTCATCAAGAATAGCTGTACATCCTATGACATTATAGCGTTTACGTGGCCTAGGCTTCAACATTAGCGTTAGCAGCATTAGCTTCATTAGCGACACCGGGTCCGCTTTTCTTCCCTTCCCTGGATTGCGACTCGATTTAAAAGCACAAAGTCACTCAAAACACTTGAACATTATGTTTAAGGCTTGGACGGTGTGGATTAGGCTCACCTTGTTTGTCGGAACTGATCTTAATCGCTTGAAAATGGTGAGGATTTCTGTTTTATTTGGTTCGGAAGCCATCTTGCCACTAGGTTGGTTTTTCCGTGGGATGACGTAACTACGGGTTCTCGGAAAGGCCAAAGGAGAGAGCTAGAAAAGTGAACCTTGTGTTTGCAGGACACGTCACTGTGAACTGTGGACAGAGTAGAAAAATGATAACTAATCTCATGTGGGGGCAAAAGATTAGTCCTTAAAAACATGGACTGTGTCAAAAACTGCTGTCTGTCTCACCTTTTACAATCTATGGTCTCACCCTTGTAGAAAATACACACAGAGACGCAAAATGAAACATTATACTTTATATTTGGCCATTTAGAATTATAAACTATGAACTATTTATTTTTTCTTTACATGTTTTGGAACGTGAAATATTAATTTAAAGGTGTAGTACACCATTTTGTTAGCTTAGCCGTAGCACCAACTTGAAACCATACCCCCTATCCCCTTGCCTATCCACAAAACCAAACATCCAGCATTTTATTTTTTTGTCACAACAGGAAACTGAGGATACTGGGCATTTTGGGGACACAACAGTGCTCTTTGATTGTGCTGTCATTGTGTTTTTATTAGTGATGGGTCCAGCAACACTGATACACCTGCGCATGTGCCGAGTTCGTTTAGCGAAACCTCGTATCGGCGCGCGTGTCGCTTTATGAAAAAGCCACGTGTCCGATACAGCCGCAGTGTCGCTTGTCACCATAATACATCCATGCTTGTCACCGACACGGCAAAATGTGTTTAAAGGACGACTCACCCTCAAATCCACTTTTTTTTTGCTGATAAACGGTATAAATGAGTGTCCAATAGTGTTGTCTACATATCCTGGTCATAATTTTGTCACTTTGGTGCAAATTAGTTGAAAGTTAGACTTTCTGCCTAAAACCGTCTGTGAGGCGCCATCTGCTGGCGACCTGTATTACTACATTTGAATTTTGAATCTGGCGCCAACACTGGCACAGAAGTTGGACCTGACGTCTGCAAGTTGGACCTGACGTCAGCAGCCCCCCGCCCAGAGCAATGTAAACGGCCCAGTCTCGTTCACGCCCCCTTCAGTCCTCCAGGCTACGCCCATTTAGAGGAAGATTTGAACAGGAAATGTGAGTAACGTAAGCTCCGAGGAGCGGGGGTGAGAACCACTTTAAAAGGTTCCGCATCTGCAAGTGTCACCGGTATGAACCGCTGTCAGAAAAAGAAAATAACCCTTTCAAAAAGGAAAAACATCCAATTTTACAGCATCAAAATGGAACCTGCCACTAAAAGAAAGTATTCTGCAGTGTGATACTGCAAATAACAGCAAATAAGGCAATGTTTGTATTTTACATTTGACGCTTTATCTACAATCAACAGTTTGAAACGGAAAATCTAGTTAGGCATGATGGATGAGTGGATAGCGCTCTCACCTCGCGTTTGAGGGAACAGGGTACGAATCCCAGTCGAACCTCAAAAGTTTATGTTGACATCACAGTCTTGAAGAATGATTGAGAAATTGCAGTGTAGAAAATGTCAAAGGTTTTTCAAGTATACTTTAGTTGCCAGGGTTTACAGTGCACTTTGGACATGCTTATTGTTTTGAAAAATAAATATATATGTAAGGATGTAATGTGTCCGTGCGCCAACAGAGGGCGCCCTTTGTTTTCTTAACTATATAAGCCCTCCGCAGCTACGCAACGCTGCAGTTCTCTTTTGTTTTTATGAAGGTAAGGAGGGCTCCCGAGTGTAAAATAAGTTTATTTGTGTATAAATGTATGTTGGGTGCCAGATATTGATTGTGGGTTAGCATTTTGTCATTGTACATTTAGGCTGTTTCTCTGTTAAACTTAAGTGGGAAAAATAACTTCGTATTTCGTTTTTAGAGTGCTAGCTTGCACGTGTCCTTGTTACAGTAGCATGTGGACTTTACAATTCAGCCTTTGAATGTACAATTTATTACTGCAAAAACAGTTACAATTTCTTCTTAATGAGGCAGTTCTCTTTTGTTTTTATGAAGGCAATAAATGAGGAACGTCTGTTCAGCCTCTTCCACCATTGACTCCTGGTTTCCCTATCCGCACTGCTGGCCCCTGACCAGTAACACAAACAACACAACGCAGAGAGCACACTTGGGGCTTGCCATCGCTGAACTAGGGTTACATATATATATATATATATATATATATACTGTAGGGTAATTATATATGTAAGATATAATTTTAAAGGATAATCATATACGTGGGGTAAATGAAAATGTAGTGTAGTGCGGCTAGTCTCCAGATCAGAGTCTCGCCGTACTACACGAGTTGGGGATCTGCTTTTATTTTGGACACCAGCAGAGTTTGAAGCTTCTGCACAGATCCAACTAATTTGCCTCGATACCAGTATCATAAATCTGATGGTTTTGAGTACGTAAATCGGCCAGGGATATCCAAGACTTATAAACACGACGCTGAAATGAATGAGTTAAAGATAACGGGGGTTTATTGACTACAAAAATTGAAACGAAAACGAAAAGGGTTTTCTGGTCACATTAAGCAGAGGTTGTATACATATCATTCGAATCACACTTCCAACAAGGAACAGTCTTACTTTGAGAAGTCCGAAGGGGTAAGGACGATAGGAGGCAGTGGAGAGGATGAGAATGAAGATTGAAGAATGGAGATGGGGAAAGCGAGGATGTCGTCCACGTGTCCTTTGTCCGGACGGTAGCAGGAGGAAGCCAGCAGGTCGGGTCCAGACGTGGGTTCCGCACACAACACGGTCTAGAATGATGTTGCGGTGGGGTGTCCAGGGAGCCCGAGAGTGGCTGGCGATGGAGAGTCCTTGTCTCCAACAGCGGGGTGGCTGCTGTCCTCGTGGATGTACAGGCCCGAAAGTGGCTGGCGTAGGCCGCGTAGGAGACGCGTACCGAAAAGGTAGAGTTGCTAGAGTGATTACAAGCAACTACATCCACTCCATCTAGGGAAAATGAGGACGACCTTTCCCTTTGTTTTCTATCCCCGCCTTCACTACTGGAATTACCGGAACACTCGGCAGGCATGATAAGATCGGCGATGAAGACTATTCCTCTCACACCCACTGTAGCCAGATCAAGAGTCCTATCTAACATTCAAAACCACTCCCCATACGTACCTCCAAAGCTACCTAGGGCGTCCAACTCAAATTCTCCCACAAAATCCACCCGTCCCTCCTCTAACCCCATAAGTATTCCACCCCCCCCCCCCCCCCCTCCTGCTCATTTAGCCCACCTCCCCCCTAACCCAGCACCAAGAAACCCTCCACCTCCACTCCCCCCTCGTCCACCACCCAACTCAGCCTGCCCCTCCCCTAACCCATCACCAAAAACCCATCCACCTTCAACCCCCCCCCGTCCAACTCCCAAGAACCACCTGCCTCTCCATCCTCTTCCCCCACCTTCCCCTCTTCTCTCTAAGCACTAGGATGCACAGGGTCTCTGCTTCACAGCCACTGGCAGTCTAGTTAGAGGAGAGACCCGGCTGGGGCCCTGTCATGAAGCCACCTGTGCCATTCCTTTAGTGATAACACAAAGAATACATTACAGAAAAACATCTGAAGTTAATCAGTCTAATCAGGAAAATCTAATTCTTGTTCCGTGTAAGAATCAGCCGACCACAACCGCTGATACTGAAACTTTGAAACTTGCTATGCTAAATGTCAGATCTCTTTGTAACAAGTCTTTTTTAATCAATAATTTTATTTTTTCTTATAATCTAGATCTTATGTTCATGGCTGAAACATGGCTTGACCAAAATACAGAAAATGCAGTTTTAATAGAAGCATCACCACCAAATTTCAAATTTGAATCTGAAATACGGGGAAACAAAAAAGGAGGAGGCTTAGCTGCCATTTTCAGAGACCACTTTGTCTCCCATAGAATGTCTCTTGGGAAGTTTCCGTCTTTTGAATATGTGTCTTTTAAAATACAACAAAAACAATCTAGTCCAATACTCTTCATTGTCCTATACAAGCCACCGCAGTCATGTCACAGATTTATTGATAATTTTACGGAGTTTCTTTCAGTTTTATGCACAGATTTTGATAGCTTAGTTATTACAGGGGATTTTAATATTCATGTGGATAATGTTATTGACAGAAAGGCAAAAGAGCTGAGTTCTGTTCTTGAATCTTTTGGTCTCACTCAGCATGTGAGTGGCCCCACCCACAGCAGAGGGCACACTCTAGACCTGTTAGTTACTAAGGGGGTGAATATTTCAAATGTAAACGTGGTCGATGTTGCGCTTTCGGATCATTTTTGTGTATTTTTTGACATGTGTTTCACTAACAAACCACCAGTGGACTCTGCAACTGTACGAAGAAGACACATAAATGAAAATACGGGTGAACTATTTATGGGAATGATAAACTTTGAGAATGCATCGTATTCTACTGTAGATGAACTGTTTAACTCTGTCACCTCTAGTGTTTTGAATGTTCTGGACACCATCGCTCCTGTGAAGGTTAAAACAGTGAAAAATAAGCAGAAGGCGCCGTGGGCTAAAGCAGACTCGGTCAGGGCACAAAAGAGAGAGTGCCGGAGGGCCGAGCGGAAGTGGCGCAAGTCCAACCTCCAGGTTGACTACGAGATCTTCAAAGATAAGTTGTGCGAGTTTAACCAGGTGCTACGTAATACGAGAGAAAGGTATTTTTCTGAAATGATTGAAGGCTGCAGCAACAATCTGCGTGTTCTGTTTTCAACAGTTAATAGATTAACAAACCCCCCTGTTCAGATGCCATTAGAGCTAACTTCCAAACGTAAATGTAATGAGTTTGCACATTTTTTCAATGACAAGGTTCAAGGCATCAAAAACGCCATTGTCTCCAATCCACAGATAACCATCCAACAGCCTAAAAGGCTCTTTGAGCTAACTTACTTTGCACCTGTAAATGATCAAACTGTCCAAGAGATAATCTCCAGTCTGAGCGCCTCCACATGTAGCCTGGATGTACTACCCACTAGATTTCTAAAGTCTGTTCTGAGCAGTCTGTTACCTTCACTCACACAGATAGTAAACATGTCCCTTCATTCT